CAGGCCCACGTTGGGCTCTGTGCTGGGCGTAGAGCCTAATTTAAAAAGAAAAAAAAAAAAGGAATACTATAGTAAACTCCCATCTACTCTTCACTTAGATCCAGTCTTACTCGTCTTGATATCTCTGGATTCCAGCACACAGAAGGCACTGAAATGTGGACTTACTAAATGAATGTGCTAAGGAAGAATAAGCAAAACATAGAGCGTCAACTTCCTCTAAGCTAAAAATCACTGAACTGGATCCAACTCAAGGATGGGTGCAAAGAAGGAAGGAAGACAGAACAGACATAGAGACTCCACGGACAATGCATTTATTTTGCCTGCTGAATGCCTGCTTTGTTCTAGTTCACATCATTTTTGGCTTGGTTTATTTTAAATAGTAAGAGAAACCAACAAATCACCAGGAGCCCAGGTGAATACCATACAAGACCAGAAGAGACCAGACATGCTGACAGCATACTTTCAACAAAATCTTACTAATTCAACCGTCACCCGTTTTGCAGTTTGGGATTATTTAGACAAGCTAGGCTAAATTTCATCTTGGCATTATTAATTCTTTGAGAAAGTGTACTAAGCAAATGAACAGGCTAAGCAGGGGAAATGTTGAATATTTGCTCTGGGGAGAGCAAAAGCAAATGAACAGCTTTAAAATCCTTTCTAATTATGTTGATGTGCTGAACTTTTGTCTAATTATTATGTTCCTTGAAAACTGAGCAGAAATTTTTTTTTTTCCTTGAACCATTTCATATTCCAAAAGCACTGGAAGAAATGACTTTAACATAAAGGTGAACACTTCATAGCAAAAGACTCACACGTTGCTCGTTTACATTCAGGTAAATAAAAAATGCCAGACATTGGCTTTTCCTTTAAACAAACAGAGGGCTAATTACAAAGATTATTATTTGCTAGAGAGCTTCATCAGAATCCCCCCTCCCTCTTCTGCCAGCTGAAGTCTGCCCATTTGCAGATAATCACAGGATTCACTACCACGTCCGAGTGCTTTTTACAAAGAAGACTTGGTGTTACGTGTGTTCACACTTAGTCTCGTGTAATTCAACAGTGGATTACCAGACCAAACAAAGTAAGCCTTATCATCAGCTCCATTTTATTGACAGGAAAACTGAAGCTCAGAGAGGTCAGAGTACACAGCGGAGATGTGAATCCACCGGTATACAGCCCCCCAAATATATCAACATTACGTCACACTGCATTGCAGAGCCAGTTAAAACTTGCCCAAAGCCAAAGCCAATGGGCCAGGAAAAATGTGAAAAACCACAGTGATTTGGACCTGCAAAATCAACCAAACTGTAATCCAGTTTGGGGACACTTGCTAGATACTTAAGCTTTTGTAAGTTTGGGAAGTAAACATCTTTTCAATAAGGCCAGGCTTGGCGTATCTAGTTGGCTAGACTCACAGTTCATCATGGCATGCTTCACTTTACCCATCAGGTAGGTGCCTATAAAATTGTTGTGTAAGGGGCATCTGGGTGGCTCAGTTGTTAAGCGTCTGCCTTCAGCTCAGGTCATGATCTCAGGGTCCAGGAAACCAGACCCGCATCAGGCTCCCTGCTCAGCAGGAAGCCTGCTTCTCCTTCTCCCACTCCCCCTGCTTGTGCTCCCTCTCTCGCTTTGTCTCTATCAAATAAATAAATAAAATCTTTAAAAAAAAAGTTGTGTAAATCTAAGTCTTAAAAATTGTAATGGAAAAGGGATCCTTTGAATGCTAAATCTGATCTTAGGGCAAATGCTTTCTTAAAGAGAACAAGTTTTTCCTTTTAGTAACCAATCTGTAAATTAACAGGTTCCTTAATCGGGCCATGATAACGCTTTAGGAGTGAGCGAGATGTGAGAGAGCAACTGGGTGGAACTTCTTGAAAATGTTCTATAGCAATGTTTCTCAAACTGTTTTCCCCAGACCCTGGGAGGAAGAGGGGTTCACAAGGACAAAACCATTTTCATCACAATTCTAAAACATCCTCACTGTGTTGCTATCTGCACTGATGATGGGACAGTGGCAGTAGGTAAAACTGTTACAGGGCAGCAGCACCAAACTGACCTAGTAATCGTTGTATTCTTTACTGCCATGTATTCACGATAAATCAACAACAACCAAAAAATCACTGTCACCTAAGAATATTCTTATGAAATTGTAAAAGTTAGTTTTACTTAATTTCTTCTCATGAGTCCACAGCTTTTCAATATTCTGTGTGACACAATGGCAAATACACACCAAGCACTTCCGTTACAAGCCAAAATACAATGGTTGATCCCAGAAAACACTCATGTGTGCTTGTTTGAGTTACCAGCTGAACTAGCCACATATGTATAGAATGCCATTTTTACTTGAATACAACTAACAAACTATAATTATTCAGACCTGGGTGTCTCACAGACATTTTCTCAAATAGGGAAAAAAAAAAAAAAAAGAATGAAAGAAAGTGAGTCAGTCCCTTCAAGGAAACAACTGACAGTGTCTATTGCCCAAATGAAACTTGTTTCTACTACCTTGAGTTTAGCAGCTTAAACTTTTTGCTAAAAAATGAGCCAGGTGGTGATATTAACAAATATGACTTTCTTGATATTGTATAATGACATTCCACTTGATATTACATAATAGAATTTGAAATGTCAACGTTTGGAAGATTTGCAGAACTCAGTAAACCAACATTTTCCAAATGACCAATGCCTAATGTAATAAAATCGTACATGGGTAAAATATCTGAACAAAGGGCGAGATAAACCAATGGATTTTAAATATAACAGAGAACAAAAAGTTCACCAATATGGTCTCAGACAGCTCATTGTACATACCCTTCAAGAAACTACCATGTGCTAAGTTTTGGTGTAGCATCAAAAAAGAATGTCTACAGTTATTTGAAAAGGCAATTAAAATCTGTGTGAGGCCAGACTTTCTTCATATACACTAGCCAAAAGACACAACAGTTTGGTTGCTGAAACAGAAATGAGAGTCTAGCTATTTTCTGTCAAGCCGGACATTGAAGAGATTTGAGACAATGTAAAATAATGCTACTCTTCCTACTAATGGGGGGGCATAGCTATCTTTCATTAAAATTATTACTTATATTTAGAAGTAATGGGCTTACTGTTATTTTTTAAGATTTATTTTACTGAGAGAGAGAAAGCACACTGAGTGTGGGGAGGGGCAGACAGAAGGAATCTTAAGCAGATTCCCTGCTGAGTGTGGAGCCCATCTCGGGGCTCCATTTCACAACCCATGAGATCATGACCTGAGCCAAAACCAAGATCTGGATGCTTAACCAACTAAGCCACCCCGGCGCCCCAAGTTTACTGTTATTTTTAAGTAGTTGATAACTGAATGTTTTAAGATGTTCTCAGCTTTACTTCCTGATACGGTAAATATCGTAGATATAATATACATAAACCTCTTTCGAGGTTAAGAGCATAAAGGTGTCCTGCAGTTAAAAATATTTGAGAACTGTTGTTCTGTAGCAATGTTAACATTGATCTTTCCACCAGGCAAACTGCAAATGACGTTTTATAGTACCTCTAAAGTACAAAGGGCAAAGACGTCTTTTAAGGATATATCAGAGTGTTCAATCAAAATAAATTTTTCCCCAAACTGCATTAAGTGGATACAAGGAACAAATTCCTGAATGTAAGGGATAGTAGTGAAATGAGAACAATGATCTGGATTCTAGCAGAGATCCTAACAGTCTGTCTAGATATTAGTCTTCCTATCTTCAAAATGAGATCAGAACAGCCTATTTTTAGATTGTTTTCAGTGGTCAATTCCATGATTCTAATCAGGAACTCTAAATAGTGGCCCACAGGCCGGCATCTGGCCATCTGGCCTTCAGGCTGATAGGCTGTCATGGTATTTAGAGAAGTGCCCTAGGAAAATAATTGGTTGGAACTGAGTGAGAAGCTTTCCTTTCAAAAGGGGAATTGATTTTCAGTCACAGCCCAATCCAGCCCACCAGACTTGCCCCTGCAGATATCTCCATTTGCAATGTCAGGAATGAAGGGCCTCCAAAATCCGTTCCAAATCTCAAACCTCTATAATTTAACTCCAGAGACAGAGTGTCTGGGTTTCTTACTCACTCTGCCACTTGCTGGCTCTTTGATTTGGGGCAAGTTAACTTAATTCCTTTGAGCCTCAGTTTCTTCATTTGCAAAACAGGATAACACCCCTGACCTCAAAGGGCAGGAATGAAGCTTAACGAGGTGTTGCTCCACAGCGCTTACAGAGTTCCTGGCACTGAACAGTATTAATTATCAACATCAAAGCTCAGAAAAAGAGCATGCCCTCGACCTCGTCCACCCACCTTACCAACTCCGTTTTCCCAGGACCTGACGACCGCACTCTCCAAGATGACGCTTATCCCCATACCAACTCCCAGATTTCACAGTCCCACATCCGAGGGAGACACACAAGACCCCTCTTCAGACTTCTGCCTCTGCTTTCCACTCTAAACCTCTTCTGAGCCCCCGACCTGTACCGGGTTTCTACAACAACACAACTCTGCACAGTGGCCAAACCACTGACCACTCCCCCCAGCGTCTTCTTCCCATCCCTGACCACTAGGGCTCCCTTTCCCTCTGACCAGAGACCACCCTAGGTCAGGCAGTGGTGGCCCAGGGCTCTCTTGCCTAGGATTCTGTCCGAGGGAGCTGAGGGAGAGATAGGAGAATAACTGCCCGACCACCTGGAGGGGCCCACGGACACTCACCGTCCATCCCTTGAGGCGGCGGTTCCGGGTGCTCGAACCGGAAGCGGCCCCTACACTGTTTGCAGTTCCCCTGGTTACTGCGGGGTTCCGGACCAATGGCGGTGGAGCCCCGAGGACTGAGCCCGCCCCCAAAGGGCGCAACGTCACGTCGGCGCTCTTGGAACTCCTCCTCCGATCCGTAGGTCCAACCCGCCTACCCGGGCTGTCGATCGTTCTGCGCAGGCGCGCTGGAGGGCCTTTAGAATCCTGGTGCGCAGGCGCTCGGGGAGCTGCAAAACAGAAGTAGCAATGGACGCGCTGGAGTCGTTGTTGGACGAGGTGGCCCTGGAGGGGCTTGATGGCCTGTGTCTGCCCGCGCTATGGAGCCGTCTGGAGACGCGAGTGCCTCCCTTTCCGCTGCCTTTGGAGCCCTACACGCAGGAGTTCCTTTGGCGGGCCCTTGCCACCCACCCGGGCATCAGCTTCTATGAAGAGCCTCGGGAGCGACCCGACCTCCAGCTCCAGGACCGGTCAGCGGCCTGGCCCTGAGGCGGGCGGGCGGGCGGCGCAGAGCCCGGCATCAGAGGGCGCTGGGAGGGGCCCAGGTTCTGACGGGAGGGGGCGGGAGAAAGGAGTGGCGCCGAGGGGCTGGGGCGGGGGGGGGGGGCGGAGAACCGCGAGTCTGATGGGGGCGCGGCAGTAAGGCTGGCTGGGGGTCTCTCGGGCCTGGCAGAGCCCGGGCCTCTGATGGAGTTGGGGGTCATTTAGTGATGTCCCATTCGGTTTGTGTAGGTGTTTGGGTGGTGGTGAGCAGGACTGGGGCGGGGGGGTATTCTTCAAGCTTCGAAGAGCGCTCCTTTTTCATGGTGGGAAGGAAGTCAGTTTAGATCAAGTCTGGAGACTCTGAGTTTAGCCACCCTTTCTGGGGCATTCTCAGTTCTGGACTAGAGAACCTAAGGCAACTAGAGATAGGCATAACGGCAAGGTTAGCAACAATAATAATATAACAACAACAGCGGCTAGCATTTATTGAGTGCTTATTATTGGCCTGTTATTATACTGTAAGATCCTGTTTTGGGAGGTTAAGGAGATGGAACTCACTTGGTCCTCAGCAGTGGACGCTGTCATTGTCCCCATTTTGCAGAAGAGGAAACTGAGTCATAGATTGAGGAACCTGTCCAACGTTCCTGAGATTTTAAGTGACCAGAGTGTTGATTTAAACCCACACAGTCTGTCTCTATAGAGTCTGTGCCGTTAAGCCAAATTGTGAGGAGAGGTTCCCAGAAGTAATACTGAAAACAAGACTTCAAGATTGGATTTAGATGGCCAGTTGGCAGAGTATTCTGGAGAGAGAACAGCAAACGTGGAAAGCCTAAAGGAGGAGAAATAAGTGTGGTTGAGGTGCAGGACTGGAGATGGGGAATGGGGAATAATAGTAGTTGGCACTTACATGTATGCATATTGTGAGCTAGGACTTGCTAAGATCCTGACATATAGCAAGTTAATTTTTTTTAAAGATTTTATTTATTTATTTGACAGACAGAGATCACAAGTAGGCAGAGAGGCAGGCAGAAAGAGAGAGAGGAGGAAGCAGGCTCCCCGCCGAGCAGAGAGCCTGACACGGGGCTCGATCCCAGAACCCCGAGACCGCGACCGCGACCCGAGCTGAAGGCGGAGGCTTTAAGCCACTGAGCCACCCAGGCGCTCCTATCAAGTTAATTTTTACAATAATTTTAGAAGGTGGGTATAATCATTCCCTTTTTCCCCGGAGAGAAAAGTCAGGCCCAGAGATGATAAGAGACTTTGTTCAAGGTATCAGCTAGCAAGAGCAGAAACCAGAATTTGAATCCGAAGTTTGGCCTACAGAATCTTCTCTGCACTTAGAGATTGGACTGGAGAGGTAATCAGTGGTCTTTAATCCGCTTAAAGAGTTTATCCTTTATCAAAAGAACCATTGGAAGCCCCGCCTCCCCCCACCCCAAAGAAGGGTCAGACTGAGGGCAGAGTGTGAAGTTGACAGATTTTAGTAATCCAGTCACAACCAGTCATGGTTTGATGGGGTTTGTAGGTTGGGGTTCAGAGCCAACAGGCTGAGAAAGAATTCTGCAGAAGTCTTCGGTGCTACAAGACTTTAATTAAAGCATGGGAACAGGACCGGTGGGGCAGAAAGAGCAGCAACGGTCGTTGTGTGTTGGGGGGAGACCAATTTATATACTTTCAAGTTGGGGGACGTGAAGACAAAGGGAGGTTTCCAAACAGACTCTCCTATGTTAAAGAAAACTCACAGGACCCTAGAGGCCTGGCTATTTTCAAGCTAAGGCTGGTTTTTCCCTGTAGCAAAGCATCAACTTGAAAAGAGTTGGGAGCTTCCTGGAGGAACTTTACTCTTCCTGCCTTAAGTAACAATGGGCTGCAGGTTATAAGGAAATTTAATTTCATCTACATTTCCTTCTTGCCTTTGTTCTCCCCATCAGTTTTGCTTACTATGGGGCAGGTGAGAATACGTAAGAGAAGCAAATGGCATCAAGACCTAGGAAGCAGAAGAATCAAGAGGATTTGGTGACTGGATGTGGGGTATAGGAGAGGGGGGAATCAGGGATGATGGCTTCTGATTCCTGATGTTCAGCCTCCTGAGTGAATATTGATGCCCGTCCCTGTTAGTAGGGAACACAGAAGAGCAGCAAGGTTGTTGAGTCTCAGGGAAGGTGGGCTAGGTGCTGAATGTACTTTGAGTCACGTGGAATTCAAGGTTCCTTTGGGTGATCCGTGGAGATTCTGTGCAGTAAACATGTTGCTTCCTTGGGTAAAAGCAGGCCAGAGGGAGGGATAGAGCTGGACGTGGGCAGTCATCCCATATGGTTGGCTATTAAAGCCATGAGCCAGGATCATCCTTGGAAGAGAATATGGTGTGATGGGAGGCCTAAGACATGGCCCTCAGGTGCACCTACGTTGAAAGGCTGGATGGAGAACTAGGAACCGTCAAAGAAGCCTAGGAAGGTGCGGCTAGAGAGGTGGAGGACAGCAGTCCACAGCCGCCTCTTGGCAGATGGTGGAAGATGTGATTTGGGAATGGGGGATAAAGCCGGGTAGAGATCACAGAGAAGGCGAGGAAGGAAAGGGCTGGGAAGTGTAAGTGGGATTTAGCCTCAACTAGACTAGCTCGGGCTGTGAGCAGGGTTTGTAAGGAAAGCCTAACAAACTTGGCTGACTGCATAAGGGAAGAAACGCAAGTCAGAGTTGTCCCCGTGACATTGATACGACATATTTGGGAGAAAGTGGAAAGGAGGGACTTCATTGGAGGCAGAGAGAGGCAGTCATAACTTTGATTTGGATCTCCTTGAATTCAAGGTGTTTGGTAGACAACTGGAGACGCAGGATCAGTGTTTGGAGGAAAAGACAGGACTGAGGATTCAGAGGTGAAAGTTGTTAACATGCAGGCATTGGATTTGGAGGGAAACGGAAAGGCCATGACTTGGGCCAGTAAGATGGTTCTGGTTCTAGCATTCAGCTTCTGGGGTGGATTTGGGAGACCCTGGAAAGGTCTGTGTTCTTTGGGATAGAAAGGCAGGAATGCTGCTCTAATCTGCATTTGCAAGGCTAGAGGACCGAGTGAGCTTTCGGCTCTCTGATCTCTGCAGGAGGTCGTCAGAAGAACGCGCCAGGGGCGCCTGGGTGGCTCCAGTCAGTTAAGCATCCGGCTCTTGGTTTCTGATTTCGGCTCAGGTCATGATCTCAGGGTCGTGAGATTCAGCCCTGCTTTGGGCTCCCAGCGTGAAGTCTGCCTGGGATTCTTTACTTCTTTCTCTCCCTCCTGGAGTGCTCCCTTTCTAAAAATAAATAAAATCTTTAATTAGAAAGAAAGAAAGGAAGGAAAGAAGAGAAGAGAAGAGAAGAATGAGGAGCCAAGTATGTATTTTTCCGAAGCTGAGTTGTCCTTTGGTATTTGTGCTTTCCCCTTTTAGGTATGAAGAGATTGACTTGGAAACCGGAATTTTGGAGTCCCGGAGGGATCCAGTCGCTCTGGAGGATGTCTACCCCATTCATATGATCTTGGAGAATAAGGATGGCATCCAGGGCTCTTGCCGGTACTTCAAGGAGAGGAAGAACATAACCAATGACATCAGGACCAAGACTTTACAGCCCCGTTGTATGATGGTGGAAGCTTTTGGCAGGTAACCTGTCTGCAGCTTCAGAGCCTCACGAACCACCCCCCTCCTGCCTTGAAGCCAAGCGGGGACAGTCAGAGTGTGGAGACCGGTCTGTGTGTCAGCCCTGCGCCAAGCAAGCTCCCCATCCTGCACCCCACTCTTGGGGGTGCTAATTTGACTCGGGGGCCTGCTTTCTCTTTCCCTTGTGTCCCCAGGCCTGGCGCAGTGGGGCAGAGCAGCCGGCTTTCATTTGCATCAGTGCCTTGCCTTCTCCTGTCCAGGCTAGGGGTCCCGTTTCCCCTGAGTGGCTAATGCAAGTTGTCACCTTCTGGAGCCAGTCCCCACTCCCACCTCCCTTCCCACTTCACAGAGCAGGGAAAAGCTGCCAGTGGGAACTCTGCCGACTTCCAGCTTCTTCTGCTTGCAACTTTTCCACATCTCTTTCTCCTCTCCGCATTCCCTTGCTTTCCCTGCTGGGGCTCTCAACTCAGCTGTAATGACTCGCCCATCTTGCAATAGGACCTTCTGCTTGACCTCGGATCTCCTGGGGCTGTAGAGCACTCCTGCTGCTCGCAGCTGTGCTTCCTGGAAGAAATAGCTCTTTCTCCTTCAATCCTCTGCCCACTGATGTCTGCCTTTATTTCTTCACCAAAATCTTACCCTCTAAGTTTCCTACTAACAGCCTGGGGATGCTGTTTGGCCCCAAGTTCCTGACCCTTCCACCCCAGGTCAGGGAGTTTTAAAGCTTTTGCCCCGTGGCTTCCTGCTTTGTTTTTCTGTTCTGGTCCATCCTCACCAGCTCTCTCCTGGACTCCCCGACTTCTGTCTACCCCTTAAATGTTGGGCTGCTCCCAAGGGCTCTTTCTCTTCCCCAGATGTCTCCCAAGTGCCACATGTAGAGTTCAGTAATGCCTTCCTCAGTGTGCCCAGAAGTTAGAGCATCACAACTCCTTCACCCCAAACCTGCCTTCTCTTCCCTTCTTTGCCTCTTTTGTGACTTCCTCTGCTCCAGGGTATTCCCTTGTGCCTGCTGTACGAGCCGCAGACCTGGGACTCCAGGGCCCCTTCTCTCCGGACTTACTCTGCATTCAGCTGGCCACCAAGTCCTATGGACTTGGCCTTCTCAGACTCTCTTTGTCCTCAGGATAATGCAAGAGTCTCCTGCCTCCCTTCTTGCTGTCTCCCTCTCTCTCTCTCTTTTTTTATGATTTGTTTATTTATTTTAGAATAAATAAAGGAGCCTCCCTGCTAAGCCCAGGGCCGGATGCGGGGCTAGATCCCATGACCCTGAGATCATGACCTGAGCCGGGATCAAGAGTCAGATGCTCAGCTAGACGCCCCTGTCTCTCCTCTCTGGAACTTTCCACACCATATCGCACATTTTTTTTCTCTAAGATAGAATTGTGATGAACAGTGCCTTGGTTACTTGGGAGGTGTTTCCGACTGGGTCCATATGCCCTGTATACGTGCTTTGTTTAGCCAGCACGGTGTTATTTTTGGTTTTAATTTTAATTCATTGCTGATATTTAAAATCTGGATTTCTAGCTCCTCTTAAAAAAAAAAAAAATCATAGGATCTAGCTGCCCTGGGACTGATTTTCACTTGGTGATACAGGCCAGAGCCATGAGTCATATCCCACCTAGTGCTCCACACTCTGCAGCTCCCTGCCTGCTGACCTTAGCCCATCGGCCCTATGCCCCCACCAGCTTTCCCACTGTAGCCCTTCAGCCAGCCTGAGTCTTCCTTGTGCCGTGGCCCAAATGTGTACAGCTCATTTCTGTCTCGGCTATCGCGTGTGCTGTTCCTTCTGCTTAGAATGTTCTGCCTCAGATCTTCCCATATCTCTCCCCTCCTCTTCAGTCAGTCTTCAACTCGGCTCCTCAGAAAGCATCCCTGTTGCCCAGGCACCGTTATGTTACTCTTCACTGTACCAAAAATGATTTTTTATTTATTTACTTACTTATTGAATATATTTATTTTTTTTTGAGACTGAGAGCAAGAGAGTGTGAGCAAAAGGCAGGGAGGGGCAAAGGGAGAGGGAAGGAATCTTGAGCAGGTGTGCTTGCCCAGCGTGGTGCCCTGCGCGGAGCTCGGTCTCACGACCCTGAGATCACAACCTGACCCAAAATCAAGAGTCAGGCGTTTAACCGACTTGAGCCACCCAGGCGCCCCCAGTACCAAACGCGGTCTGAAGTGTTGATTCATGCCACCCCTTCCTCACCAGAACGTAAACTCTTGAGGAGGGAAACCCTGTCTTGTTTATGGCCGTATCTCTTGGACCTAGAATATGCCTGGCACCACCTCAGCTCCTAAAAATGTCCATTGACTGATGGGTGATCCTGATGGGTGTGGGGTTACAGCCACTGACCTGTGACCTCCCCGCAATGGCACTGCAGGGCCCTTCAGGATGTGGACTCCCACTGACCCCTTGAGCTCACCTGCTTTCTCGCTTGGGAGCCCAGCCCCCACTTTCCAGCCAGGCCACGCCACTTGCCTCCCAGGAAGGCCTGCTCCTTCATGCCTCCGGAAACTTGGAGGTTCTGCTTTCTTGTCCTTCACCCACCCCGCTGACTGCGAATCCTAGGATCCCTTCCCATGAGAGCGTCCCCTGGTTACCATGCACGCTTTCTGTTCATGCACGCGGGCTGGATTGGGGGCTCCTCGCGTAATGGCATTTCATAGGTTTGGCCACCAGAGTTGCTCTCTGCCAGCTCTTGGGCCCTAGGGTAATCGCTCACTCTCCTGACTTTCTCCTTCCGCGGACTGTGAGCTCTTTGACGGGAGATACCGCTTTTATTTATCTTGGTATCTCTGGTACTTTGCATTGTGCTTAGTCAGTACTTGACATCCTGTCTGAGGGCCACACTCAGCACTTCCGGCCTTGCAGGAGTCACTGAGTCAGCTAACTGGAATGTTGGGATTTTAATGTCCAGTGCAGTAAACCTGAGTGCATTTGAAAAGCAGCAGGCCTGTTCCCCTGGTCTCAAACTTGCTTTTCCCGGCTGACCTCTGCCAGTTTAACTTTGTAAGCCTGTTTGAGATGAGAGAGCATAGATTCTAAGTCTGTGACCGAGGGAGAGGAGCAGCCAGGCAGAGGAAGCAGTTTGTTTGGGACCAGCAGGGCCAAGGGGGGTAAGAGGCAGAGCTGTGGAGGGTGCATAGGACATTCCAGGCCGTGGTGAGGAGCTGGGGGTTCGGTCTGAGTGTCTTCGCAAGACCGTGGAGGGCTCCACGCGAGATAACAGGATTGGTTCTGTTCAGCCCAAACACCATGCAGTTTGGAGACAGAAACCTCGCCTGGGGCATTGTGAACTTCTAAGAAGCAACACAAAATGGCGATTCTCTAAGGTTCTGTTTTTTCACATTTTGATTCTCTTCAAGTCACTTCAAGTTATTTCTTCCGTGCGGTTGTTCTCGTTTGCAGGTGGGGAAAGAGACTGATCATCGTTGCCTCCCAGGACATGCGTTACAGGGCCTTGATAGGCTTGGAGGGTGACCCGGACCTGAAACTCCCCGACTTCTCTTACTGCATTTTGGAGCGATTAGGCCGGTCCCGGTGGCAAGGGGAGCTCCAGCGAGACCTCCATACCACTGCTTTCAAGTGAGGGCATGATTCGTTTCTCTCCTGAAATGCTAGGACTCCCCGATGATTGTGCCCTGCCCCCAGCGCAGGCCTATTGACTTCCCTTCCCCGTTCCTCTCCAACCGGCCACTGGGGCAGTCTGCAGCCCGTGATGATTGGGCGTCGGCGCTTTGTTTTTTGAAGAGACCCTGGGGCGACTGTATAGTGTCCAAACCAGACATCTTGAGAGTGGAAGGTGCAGCTTCAGGGGGAGGCCAGAGCAGTGAGCATAAATTGGGACCATCGGGCCAACCAGAATGTAGAGTGACCTTACTCATTGGCTACTGCAGGACTGGAGACATGTCCCATTCCTTTCCCTTTCCCCAGGCTTCTATCCCCATCTCCCATCCACCTCCGCTGGGGGTCTGGAGTGCACTGAGGCTGAGGCATGCCTGTTCTTTTGAGGCCATTGTCCCCTGTCCCTTGGAGTGGCTGGACAGGAAGTGTGTGTCTCTAGCACTTAACGTTCACATGAGAGGCCCTCTACTGTTGGGTGAAAGCCGCCAGCAAAGCAAAATGACACAGCCATGCTCTTCTCTCCTCCAGGGTTGATGCTGGGAAGCTCCACTATCACCGGAAAATTCTGAACAAAAACGGGCTCATCACGATGCAGTCCCATGTGATCCGATTACCCACTGGAGCCCAGCAGCACTCCATTCTCCTCCTTCTGAACCGGTTTCACGTGGACAGGTACGGCGTGCAGACACCAAAACACTTTGTTCTGGTGAAATTTCAGCCGTGTGGATTAGACCTCTACACATCATAGAGAGAATCACATAACGACTACAGCTTTTTTTTTTTTTTTTTTTAAGATTTTATTTATGTGATAGAGAGATCACAAGTAGGCAGAGAGGCAGGCAGAGAGACAGAGGGAAGCAGGCTCCCTGCTAAGCAGAGAGCCTGATGCGGAGCTCGATCCCAGGACCCTGAGATCATGATCTGAGCCAAAGGCAGAGGCTTAACCCACTGAGCCACCCAGGTGCCCCATGACTACAGCTTTTTAAGAAAAATATTTATGGTCTATTTCTGATTATGAAAATAAGTCATGCTGCTTTAGAAAATTTGGAGATTATACAGAAAAGGAGGAGGAAAAAATCCTATAAACCCATAGGCCGGCAGTAGGAACTGTTAACATGTTGGGGAAATTTTGGGAAGAGTGTAAAAGGAACAACAAATAAATTAGATTCGTTACAGTGACAGAATTGAGAGTGAATTCTTTCCAGTTTAAAATTGGCATGTTTTTCCAACAGCAGCTCTAGAGGGCGTGATGGGGAGGTTTCCGCTAAGTGAGTGCTGTGGGAGATGTTGCTGTTCAGCTTTGTGTCCTCGTCCGGGCGGGATAGCAAGATGGTGAGGGGTGTACACTCTCTTCTGAGCATCAGAGTGGGAGTGAGTCTCTGACTCTTTGCTCCTCCCTGTTGGGGTAACTGCCTGGCATAGGAATGGGGGAAAGAAAAGGTCCACCACCATTTAGAGAGGCCTCTACTCCAGCACCTTGTGCCCTCCTTGATGGGAGGTATAGCGACCAGGGTGGGGGAGGCAGAGTTGGTGAAGGACCTAGAATAACATAGCCCTTGGGGGAGTAAGCTGGACGCCCCCAAGTCCATGGCCACCAGTGCCCAGTGGTGGAGGCAAGTGGTGCACGGGAGATTTGAGGGGCAGTAGGCATTCCCCCTTCCCTGGACCATGGGGAATGACTCTGAGTCTCCCCTGGCCAGATGACCCAGGTCTTGTCCTTCACCCAGTGGTCTGGCACGTACTCCAACAGAGAGGTGGATGAACACTGAGGATTTCTAGTGCCCACTACATAGCACTGGCCTGGACCCAGAGAAAGTGCCCAATACGTGTGTCTAGATAGACTATTGACTGAGGATTTCCAGGAGTAATGATATCACTGTATTCCTGTCAAAATTCCAAGTTCAGCTTCAAACCTATGTTTTAGAAATCCTACCTTAGAATCGTGCTTCGAGAATTTGAATTTTATTTATTTATCTTACTATGCATTCGTTAAATACCTGTATCAGCAGACTCCTCACTGGCGTGTAGCCTGTGTCTACGGAAAACATAGGTAGCAGCCGTGGGTGGCAGGGAGAACAATGGACTAAGTCATCTGTACTTGACTTGGACAAAGTCACTTGAGCTCTCTGAAGCGTGGTTTCCTCTTCTGGAGCATGACCACGACCCAGTTCCCGGTACTGGCCTACGTACAGGAAATACCTGTGCCGGCCTTTTTTCATGCCTTGAGAGGCAGTCAAAGTGGAGATGTGGGCGTTGACTCTAAATCCCATACATACACCCTCCCTGCCCCAGGCCTGTGGGCATTTAGAGCCAAGGTCACCTTCCCCAGGCACCCACAGTCTGGGAGCCTTCCACTCTCTTTCATAGCTTCCTTGGCGGCCATTAGCTTGGAAGCCATCATGACACAATAAAAATGAGGTGGAAGTTGGGGTCATCCAGGGAAGTCAGAGTAGAAGCTGTACTTTAGGATCAGAGACATCAGGACAGCAAAGAGAGCACTGGGTGTGGACAAAGACCTAGGTTCACCTAGGTTCGCCTCTTGACTCTGACTTTCAGAAAAACCTGTTCACTTCTTTATTAAATAATCCCTTTACCAAGTGAACCGTGCAGAAAATAGAAGGTGCTTCCTAAACTTTATGGTTTTATAAAAACATAAGGCGTTTTCAAGAATTACGACAGCTGCAGCCAGAGAGTCTGGTCTGTACGCTGTTGCTACTTAGTGCCTTTCGCCATGTGACTGAACCGCTCCAAGCCCTGGTCTCTGCCCCGCCAGGTGCGGAATGTGGCCTGGACAATGGCTGAGACCTAGGACCCAGGTGGTCTGGTCTGATATGTTGTCATTTAAGTCTTGTGATCTTTAAAAAACAGGCGCTCTTTAGTAATAGGTTTGAAAAGATGAACTGTTCTGTTTCTCACAGGAGGAGCAAATACGACATCCTCATGGAGAAGCTCTCGGGTGTGCTGAGCACACGGACTAACCAGATGGAGACCCTGGGCAGGCTGAGGGAGGAACTGGTGAGTGCCGGAGGCCACCTGGGGGCCAGGCTGGAATGATCTGTGCCGCAGCCTGGACCTGCTTGTCGAGTGTGGATTAAATGACTGGCAGTTGGAAGCCGTTAATGGACTTGACCATCCCTGATCTTGAAACAAGTGGGATATTCCTTTGTTTCACAGGATAAGAAAGTGTTCAGTTCTTTGTTGGAGGCCCTCGTGCTCTTAACTGGCTCCCATTTCCTCCCCCCACACTCACAGTTTGCTCTAGGACATGCTGTACAAGTTCATATGGAATGGCCAGTCTGGACATTTAGGGGTGCTTCCGTAAGCGCACTTCTAATTCTGTCCCCATTGGCTTGATACGGAAAGGGCATTGTGACTTTGCAGAGATGCAGGCTAGGTGGTGCTGGGAGAAAAGCACAGACTGGCCATCTTGGTCTCTGGGCCCCCAGAGGAGAGGCAGGAATGAAGCAGGGAGAGGAGGAGAGCATGGAGGGGCCTCGCTGCCTCCAGGCCGATGAGAACAGTCTTTGCCAGAAGCTAGGGAAGAGCCGGCATGGCAAAGGGGACAGAAACATTGTCCTGGAGCTTAAGATGGCAGAACTGAAAATCTAAAGTTTAAAGTCAGGCAGTTGGGTCACAGTGATTAGTCCACAGAGGGACATGGTGTGGAGTCTGGATTATCGGCCCCAGGATAATCCGTGCTCCTCGCCTCGTGCTATTGCATTGTGGGTGAAGCCCTAGTCTCTAGTTCCATCAGAGGGGGAAAGGGGCGTCTTCTCTAATGCTAGATCTACTACATGCCCAAGTCTTTTTAAAATATTTTATTTGGGGCGCCTGGGTAGCTCAGTCTGTTGGGCATCTGCCTTTGGCTCGGGTCATGATCCCAGCGTCCTGGGATCGAGCCCCACATGGGGCTCCCTGCTCAGTGCAGAGCCTTCTTCTCCCTCTCTGCCCCTCTTCCCTGCTTATGCTCTCTCTCACAAATAAAACTTTAAAAAGTAATAATAAAGTAAAAGATTTTATTTATTAGGAACCCTGGGTATCTTGGTTGGTTAGGCATCTACCTTTGGCTTCAGTCATGATCCCAGAGTCCTGGAATCGAGTCCCACGTAGGGCTCCTTGCTCAACGGGGACCCTGCTTCTCTCTCTGCCTGCTGTTTCCCCTGTTTATGGGCTCGCTCTCTCTTTCTGACGAATAAATAAAATCTTTTTTAAAAAATTGTATTTATTGGGTGCCTGGGTGGCTCAGTGGGTTGAGCCACTGCCTTCGGCTCAGGTCATGATCTCAGGTTCCTGGGATCGAGTCCCGCATGGGGCTCTCTGCTCAGCAGGGAGCCTGCTTCCCTCTCTCTCTCTCTGCCTGCCTCTCTGCCTACTTGTGAACTCTGTCAAACAAATAAAATCTTTAAAAAAAAAATTGTATTTATTGAGAGAGAGAAAGTGTGTATATGTGAGGAGGGGGAAGGGCAGAGGGAGAAAATCCCAACCCAGGGCTCGATACCATGACCCTGGGATCATGACCTGAACCGAAATCAAGAATTGGATGCTTGGGGCGCCTGGGTGGCTCAGTGGGTTGAAGCCTCTGCCTTCGGCTCAGGTCATGATCCCAGGGTCCTGGGATCGAGCCCCGCATCGGGCTCTCTGCTCAGCAGGAAGCCTGCTTCTCCCTCTCTCTCTCTCTGCCTGCCTCTCTGCCTACTTGTGATCTCTGTCTGTCAAATAAATAAATAAAATCTTTAAAAAAAAAAAAAAAAAAAAGAATTGGATGCTTAACTGACTGAGCCACCGGGGCGCGCCATCCCAGGTCTGTTTAGAGCACAGCTTATGAGGCTCACAGGTCAGATTTGGCCTGTGTGTTGTTAAAAGAACATTCGACCTAGCTTTTCTTTCTTTCTTTTTTTTTTTTTAAAGATTTTATTTATTTATTTGACAGAAAGAGAGAGATCACAAGCAGGCAGAGAGGCAGGCAGAGAGAGGAGGAAGCAGGCTCACTGCAGAGCAGAGAGCCCGATGCGGGGCTCGATCCCAGAACCCTGAGATCATGACCTGAGCCGAAGGCAGAGGCTTAACCCACTGAGCCACCCAGGCGCCCCTCTTTTTTTTTTTTTTTTTTTTAATTGAGAATTCACATAAAACCTTAGTTTCCAGCTTCTTTTGAAATATCAGAGGCTCTGGCAATCCTGGGCCTGGCCTGCAGTCTCTCCCAACAGCAGTCAGCTCAGGCCAGCTGTGCACTCACCTACCTGGCCTCGCCCTAGAACCCTTCCTTCCTGTCACCTCTCAGACAGCAAGCCTGTGTCATTTATGTCAGTACACACGCAGTGCTGTTTGTGGTAAGAAGTATTTTTCGGTGTTTGAGTCTCCATCAGAAGTGGAAAATGAAAGGCAGACCAATAAAGCTTCTTTAGGGACCCTAGTAGAAATTAAGAAAATTCCTCCTTGCTTAAGCAACGAAGTCTGCACACTCTGTCCTTCACATTTCTTGTCCAGCAGACACTGCAGAATGAAGCCCTCTACCCGACCGGGTCACTGAGGCATGGGGAGAGCAGGCTAGTCTGGTGACACAGGTCACCATGGCCTCCCTCAGTTCCGTTACTTACCCAGCAAATACTGCAGTGAGCGTCTGCTCAGAGTCAGAGCTGGGTGCTGCACCGCGGTGACAAAAGTTAGGATGACAGGTCTCACACTGTCATGGAGCGGTGTCACTGGAGGGCGGCCATGTGAACACACACTTGGCCTCGAAGCCCATCTAAAAGGATGACGTCCAAGCTCCATGAAGGACACATTTTCTTCAGAGCTAGGAGAAGCTTTATGGAGCAACTTCTGGCCAAGCGGGTCTTTGAAGGTGACATGTTCCCCAAGTAGACAAGAACTAGCATTTCAGGCCCGGGAGAGCGGTTCAGGCTGATGTGTCTGAGGTGCAGGAATCCAGCCGCAGTGCTCGGGCAGGGGTCACAGACATGGGCTGGGGAGGGAAGATGGGGCTGGCTAAGAGAGGTCCAGAGCGCCAGGCTGAGGAGCTGGGCTGTGGCCTTCAGCCTCGTAAACTGCTGGCTGCAATTCGTGGATGGAGAAGTTGCATCTTTTTTTTTTTTTTTTTTAAGATTTTATTTATTTATTTGACAAACAGAGATCACAAGTAGACAGAGAGGCAGGCAGAGAGAGAAGGGGAAGCAGGCTCCCCGCTGAGCAAAGAGCCCCATGCAGGGCTCGATCCCAGGACCCTGAGATCATGACCTGAGCCGAAGGCAGAGGCTTTAACCCACTGAGCCATCCAGGCGCCCCGAGAAGTTGCATCTTGAGGAAACAAACCAGGAGGAGGAAGAGAGCTTGGAGGTGCGGGCGGGAGGCGGATGTTGGCAGCTAGGGCCCAGCTCCCAAGTGGCAGACTGCTGGAATCCTTGGAGATGTTTCGATGACTGGGCCCAGGAGGTGGGGGGGAATGAAGGGGGGGGGGCATGAAGGAGAAGGAATCTTGCTGTCTGGCTGGAGTGATTGCGTCTCCCTGAAATGCATAGGGCTGGAGGGCAGGCTCAGGACAGCAGGGAGCAGGCCTGCTTGTTCACTGCTCATGCCCCAGTGGCCGGGCGGCCAGGGCCAAGCCCATGATCGGTGCTCAGTAAATATTTGTGGAATGAATGCCTGAATGCAGTAGAGAGTACAGAAAGACGAACACATTTGCGGGAGAATGAGGCGCGTGACAAATCTGACTTGAGGATTTATTGAGTCTGAAGATCTTCTGAGACTTTTCACTTGGCGATGTCTGGTCGGCAGCTGGAAATAGGGTCAGAGGGAGCTGAGCAGGACTTAGTGAATAATTAGCCGATACAGGAGGTTGATGCCATGAATATGGATGCTGTCTTTTTTGGGGTGTGGGGGAGGCTCACGCTGTTCCTTTCCCTTTCTGCAGGGCAGATTGTGTGAGTCCCTGATGGCAGCCCCCCAGAAGCTGGGACTCCATCATCCTCCCTTGCTTCGGATGGTCCAGGACTTAGGACCCTATGTTAGCGGCTGGGATTTGATGGATGAACTTCCGTAGGGTCTTTCCGTGATGCCGGGGGCACAGCTAGATTAACGAGAGAGCCCATTTACAAGCGGGTGTGTTCGAATGAGCCATATGTGAGTCGTCTGTGTTTTTTTGATAGCCATATGTTCTCCTGCCCAAGGGCTGGGAGACGGGCTGGCCTTGAGAGTTGAGCACACGTACGTGGTGGCAGCCCGCAGACGTTTGTTCCATCTCTGTCTCCCAGAGAGGGAGAGGAAAGCCGTGAGACTCCAGGGACGGCTCCCTTGGTTCTGTCCACGGCTTACAGTAGCGGGAACTGGCCTCATGACTCCAGGGGTGGCAAAGGCAAAGGCAAGTAAGCGGCCAGGATGGATACATGAAAGAATGAAACAGGCCAAGTAGGAAAAAAATGGTTTTGCAGTTGGTACGGATTCAAGACATATTTAATTTTCCTCTTGGCTGTCCTAAGAGAAGATGGCACCTACCGGTAACAGATAGGAGCTGACCTTCAGCTCTGACATGCGAGGGGCTGACACCTGGGCACCCCTGGCCTGGCTCCCCCCAGGGGTCGCCCTGAGGACCCATAGTCCCAGGATTTGTTGCCAGAGTTCTTCCAAGTGAAGCCAGAACCTTTTTTTTTTTTTTTTAACAAAGTCTCACTTTAATGTTGGCAAGTAAATCACTTATTTTCACAAACGTGTAGATGGGAAAACATGACCTATGCCGGATGCTGCTCGTTGATGACCCCTGCGGTTAGGGGCACATAGGGGTCACTTTGGTCACATCGCCTTTCGGCGCTGTGAGTAGTAGGGTGCACACACCCCTCCTCATTTTATGGAAGCCTCGCTGATAAACTGAAAATTTTTTTGGCACTACATTTTTTTTTCTATTTTTTTTTTCCATTGCCCAGGGGAGGTGTGTGTGTGCTTTGTGAGAGAGTGTGTGTGTGTGTTAATAGCACACTCGAATGGTAAGAAAACCAAACACTGACAGTATGCAATGAAAAACCGCCTTGTAGCTCTGCCCTGCCGTCTGCCTCACTCCCATCCCTACGTGTCCTTTCAGGATCTTTGAGCAAATAAACCTCTTTCCCCCTTTTGTCATCGAAACCATTTATAGAATCATTTATTTAGTGCTCTGGGCCTTCTGTTTCCGTTTCCTTGACGGCATAGCTTGAAGTCTTTCCTCCTTAGCCCCTCCAGTGTTCTCTCGTTCAAGGGAATCGGCTAACCCGGGTTAACCCTGAACCTGTGTCTGCCAGCATGACTTCAGTGGTTGCAAACGCCTCGCTCGCATCTGACGGCAGCTCTTACGTTGTGTTTTGGCAGGGGCTGTGCGAGAGGACATTTAAGCGGCTGTACCAGTACATGCTGAATGCTGGCCTTGCGAAGGTGGTGTCTCTCCCCTTGCAAGAGATCCACCCTGAGTGTGGACCTTGTAAGACAAAGAAAGGTAAAGGTGGTCACAGCCTCTGTCCCCTTGGCTGTGCACATGGCTTTCACTTCTCCCTTCCAAGTTTAACTTTCCTCTCTCCCCGCGTTCAGCCTCGCTGTGGGGTGATGGTGCATTTGTTTGGCTCTTCATTCCTCAGCGCCTCGCTTAGGGTCCCCTGTAGCAGAAGTGCTCAGGAAATGTTTGCTGAGCGAAAGTAATCCTAAGTGCCAGCACGCATCTCTGGGGAGATGTCCCTTCCAACATCTCAGCTTCGTGGTGTCCAGAAACAAGTCCCATCTTTTCCCTGTTACGCTAAACCACTCTTCTTTCCAGCGTTTTGAAAGTACCAAAGCTGTGTTGCATGATCTCAGTGTTCTGTAGCCCTTGCAAGGTTGGGGGCAGTGTCACCTTTTACATAGAAGAAAGTTAAAGGTAAGAGATGCAAAGTCATTTACATAAAGTTGAGCCGTTGGTAAGTGACAGATGGGGGATTTGAACATTCCAGGAAAGTTAAACTAAGGACCATATACTGTAAAACTTTAAAAAAACCTTCCTTAGTCTTTTATTTTCTCTGTTCTTGATTTTTTTTATGTCATGCTGTTCGTGACGAACCGAAGTCATTTAAGAAGCTGAGGGTCAGGGCTTTCAGTAGAAGATGATAGATGGGACATACACATTTATCTGCTCTCTCCCCAAACTCTTCCCTAGTGATGACAAGGGATATAAAGGGAATCAGCCTGCAGGTACAAAGAGACTAGGACAGGAATGACAGCAGAGAGTTGTCAACAGTGTTCTGGAGCTCAACGCAGAAGGACAGATAGTAACGGACTGAGCAGCCTGGGGAGGCTCAATGCCAGTGAAGGGCAGTAGCCAAGAATTGATGCCTCAGACCCTGAAATAAATGAAAAATGTGGCGATTCCAGGTACCTTTGAAGACAAGTTTGGATGGTGCCAGAGACCAGAGGGTTGGTTGGCTGTGTGTGTGAGAAACTGCTGCTTCCCCAGTCCTCTCCCCTCCTTTGCATAGCCAGTCAAGAGGCCCTTTCCCACAAAGTTTTGGCTTTTTCTACTTCTCTCAAGATAAGATGCATTGGAAGGTTTCTGGATTCACAGACCTAGCTGGGGACAGGTGGCGTGCTAAAAACAGGACACTAAAAGGGGAGGGTCCTCTCACTGTGGTTCCAGATTTGGCTCTAGAACATTGGCAGCGAGACTTAGTGTCCCCTAGGCTGGTGGCTGGAGGCTACATTTCTGCAGAAACCAACCAGTCCAAGAGAAAAGTCTTCTAGATACTGACATTAGGGCGATCCCAACAAAACCGCTGGCCTCTGCCCGCTCACCCTACACAGAAGGCCACTCAGTCGCTCCTTCCCCTTCCCCACCCCGCACGACACCCAAAACATAGTCTTTGGGTAGCAATTCAGTGCTTCACCAGACATTGGAGGAGTCTAATAGGAATGTAACAGAAACCAACAAATGTGATGGTTCTATAGGAAATAGAAACAAAGTGAGGAGCAGAGGAAAACCTAAAAGAACTGGCAGAGAGAAAACATTGCATCCATGAAAACATAGCGAGAGGCGCTCAAGGAGGGAACGTGCAGGAAATAAAAAAGAGTTCTTGCAAATAGAAGAAATGTGACTCTTGCAATAAAAGATTGAGCAGAAGGGAAGGTAGTGAGATAAAGTTGAGAAAAATCTCTCAGAAAAAACTCAAAAGAGGTGAGAAACAGAGCTAAGTTGAAAATAAGACGCTAAGCCTAGAAGGTCCAGCGTCTGCACAGAGGGCTCAGGGAGAGACAGAATGTGTGCAGAGGAAGAGGGAAGACAGTGAGCGAGGCTCCCAGATCTGCAGGACACAAAAGAGAGAGCAAAAGACCCATCAGGTGCCTCGCACCAAGAACACGCAGAACCCCGTACCAAAACGTAACACCCTGGGACTTTGGAAACCTGGAGCAAGGGAGACTTTAGAGAGGAGAAGGCAGACGTCCCAGTAGTAACTGAAGCCGGGTGGCCTCGGAGCAGTGCTTTCATGCTAAAGGGAATGGATTTTCCATCTGGAGCTCTCTGGTCTGCTTTCACGTCGATCCACTGTGAAAATACGGAGGTTTTCACACATTCAGATCTGAAACCGTTCATCTCGCATCTCCCATGTTCCCTTTCAGGAAGCTGCGGGAGGATATAGACCATCAAACAGCAGACTGAAAGAAGAGGCAGGAAAAGCGGAGTCTGGGTCATGGGGGAGACCAGGAAAAACATGGGGAGATGGTGAAGGGAAAACACCGTGATGGGCGCCATGGCAACCCGGCCATACGGGAGCAGGGCGGAAGGGCTCTGGAGGGAAAAAAGTCCACGCAAAGGATCAGCTTCCCAGTGAGTGTTTGTTTAGAGAAGGTTGTGGGTTGGCAGAGGGCCTGCATGGGAAGTAGTGTCAGGTACACACACAACCAGGGCAATGGGAAACACCAAGTTATTAAGGCCAAAGAAAACCAGAAGGTGTGTAAGAAAAAAAGGTTAGAGCCTATATGCTTGACTTTGTGGGCACAGTAAGTAACCTACGGAGGCTGGTTTCGTTACTGCAGCTCAGGAGAGAGTGTGCTGACGGACCGACCACGGCCTACCCAGTGAGCAGCTTGGTGTGTACTGGAGGTCGGCAGTCATGTCTGACAAGTGACCGTGAACTGCTGGTCTGAGGGGCTCTGTTTCTTCCTTGACCTTGCTGAACTGATCAGTCACTGCCGGTCCTGCCTGACTTCCCCGTATTGGAGCAAAGTTTGTGAAGGAGATAGTAACAGACAAACATTACTGTACAGGTGAATAAACCAAGCAGGTGTCCCCAGAGGTCAGGAAAGCCCCCAGAGGGGACCTCACTTTTGAGTCCCTTCAGTGCCAAGGGCACTTGGGACTGATCGAATGCCTGAGACCCCTCCAGAAAGTGGCGTCAGCCTTTTCAGTAGAAAGAAAACCAGGAAGTACTGCCAGGTCCTGTAGCAGGGATAAAAGACCCAGAGGCGTCCTGGGGACGTCTCTGCGTGCTTAATACCGTAATGACCTGTGGGTCTGTTAATTTATTTCCTGATTTATTGGAAGGAAGACATTAAAAATAAACAGATGGAATGATTATATTTTTAAAGTGAAGAGAAACTGAGAAGGAGATGCCCTTAAAGAAACTTTCTCGCCTGGCAGGCAGCCACAGAGCAAAGCTCGTCCCAGGCTTGGGGTCCCTGGAAATGTAAGCCTGCCCCTTGAAACTAAGACACCAACCAGAGCGAACTCCGTTGTCCGACAGCCCTGGGTCAGAATTCTCATTCTGTCATTTCCTGTTGGGGTGACCTTCTGCAAGTTTTGGCCTCTCCCCGCCTCAGCAGAATTATCTGGGGGAATAATGCAACTTTTCAGAGTGTGGTGGGGCTCATAGAAGACCGTGTACGTAGCAGGGGCCAGACTAGTGAATGGCCGCATATAGCAATGTGTTTTGCTTGGCTCACAGTGTGTGTTTTCATTGAATTCATTGCTGGGTATTTACAAATCAGAAATTGTCCCTAAAAAGTCGGCCTTTCAACTTCCCCGCAAAAAGTGAAATTAGGCAACGTTAAACTGCATTTTGCTTTAATAGCCATCAGCCAGGCAGAGAGATGCTGCCGCCTTTCCACAGGCCCATCTTCCCCACCCCCCAAGGACACCGTGCCTCCTGCTTTGTGTGTCTGCATCACATGGTGAGTGGTCCCCATTTTTCTTGAAGCCTAGTGTTGGCAAGAGAAGCCCAGAAACTCCCCAAGACTGGCTACTGATGATCGTGATGGCTTTAGCTCCTTACGTGGGCTGAAGTGGGCAGACCCCTAAGACCGTGACCGTCAGACATTTTAGACTGTCACACACCAGCCCGGTAGAGCCCATTCTGACCCTTCAGGATGCTCATCTCATCCCAGGCTGGTCTTGTTCCCCACCTCCTGCTGCTCGGGCTCATGGGCTAGGTGCCCCTCACTCCTGGCGTGACTCAGGTATTTCTCCGTGTGACTTGCGTTTCCAGCTAGGCCGGGAGCTCCTTGAGAGTGGGGGCCCCGCCTGTCACGTACTTTTATCCTTGAGGCCTCTGCAGCATCTGCTCGGAACAATGGAGGTGCTGAGCAAGTGTTTAGCAAATTTAATTTAATTAGGCACCACTTGGTTCCTCTCCTTGTACGGGAGACAAGGGATGAAGGCAGTTTTAGTCTGTTTTGTCTTGTGCCTTGTCTTCCCAATTTACAGAATTAACATAAACCTTCCCTCTAAGGCGTTATAGCACAGACAAGACTTAAATAATAAATAAAGATGATGGATTACTTCATGTAAATTTACAGGTGTGCCTGGATATATACAAGTTGTTTCTAAGAGCTGTAAATAAAGAGTTTGGATTTGGGCATATTTCAAGTACATTACAGGAAGCCGCAGTGATCTGCTTTGCAAAAAAGAAAAAAAAAGCCTCGGTTATAAAAACGGTCACCCTGAACTGATCTGTTTTGCAAAATTTGGATTATATTCTTCAAGTGTTTACTAGTCATACTGTGTTTATTCATTTGGGCTGAGAACAAAGGGGAAGAGAAAGAGAAGTTAACTTTGTGATTCTTCTGAAAATGATGGCCAACTGGAAGCAGGTGACAGAAGTTGTGTGCCCTGGGGCCCGTGACGGACGGGCTCAGTCAGCAGCTTGTCCAGCACTGAAAAGGATGAAGAAGGGGTCCGAGCACCTATATTCCCCTATTTTCCCCTGTTTAGGATATAGACTCTTCCCATAGCTATTAATTCATGACCCTTAAAAAGAAAGAACAAATTTAACAAGATTACAGGATACAAGGTTAATATGCAAAAATCAGTTGTAATAACAATGTGAAAACAAAATTAAGAAAGCAATTCTGTAGCATCAAAAAAATAACACACTTGGGAATAATGCATTCAAGCACAACAAGTAGAAAACAGTCTGAGAACTACAGAACAGTGTGGACAAATTTAAGATCTAAGCAGATGGGAACATCCCTTGTTCA